GTGCTTTCAAATATAAACAACGAACAAATGGAAGCAGCATCCATCCCCAGAGAACCCAAACCCCCACCAATATTTGTTAGAAATATTAAAAATTTTCAATTGATGTGTAATCAATTGAATAATCTGGTAGGTTCAGGAAAATATTTATGCCAAAGCCGCACCAATGACACTAAGTTAATGCCCGACACTCCAGAAACCTATAGAAAAATCATAAAATATTTATCTGACACCAAGGCTGATTACCACACGTATCAACTGCGTCAAGAGAGGGCGCTCAGGGTCGTTATCAGAAGACTGCACCCATCTACGCCAACAGATGCTATAAAAGAAGAGCTCACGGGTATGGGATTCCATGTTCGCCAGATAGTGAACATATTTAAGGAGGATAGAGAACAGCCTGGAATAAAAAATAAAATACCTCTTCCACTATTCTTCGTTGACCTTGACCGAACACCTGATGTCGAAAACATCTACAAGGTCACACGCCTTTATTATACAAGCGTTGTTGTAGAAAAGCCCTACAGCAAGCGCGACATCGTTCAATGCCATAACTGCCAGGCTTATGGCCATACGAAACGGTATTGTCATCACATTCCTAGATGTGTGAGGTGTGGTGAGCAACACAAAACAGAGGACTGTAGGAAGTCTAGAACTTCACCTGCAGTATGCGCTTTATGCCACCAAGGACACCCAGCCAACTACAAGGGTTGTCAAACTTACAAAGATTTGAAAACACGAATGTACGCAACGCCTAGAGAAGAAGGGACATCCAGGCCACCAAGACAACCCTATAGAACAGTGAACGGAAGAGTGTCCTATGCTCAGATGTTCAAAGGAGACACTGTAAACACTCAATCTCAGGCCCTGCCACAAGAATCTAAACCTCAAGAATTCACACATCAACCTCAAGACCCATATCCCTCCATCCCTGAACGTAGGTTAAATACTCACACATTCATTCCTCCTCCTTCCAATTCCACTGACCTCACAAGCCTATTGACATCTTTCCTTTCCGAATTTAGATCTCTCATTACCCCCCTTATTTCGCTACTTACCAATGTTATATCCAACCTCATTCCACTGCCAAGAAATCCATAAATGTCCTCAACCAAATTCCTCTCCATTCTCCTCTGGAATGCGAATGGTATTCGGAACCACATCAACGAACTGACAATCTTATTACATGACAAAAACATCGACATAGCACTAATAACTGAAACTCGACTAACCAACAAACGACAAATCAACGTGCCCGGCTACAATATTTATCGAACCGACCATCCTGATGGAACAGCACATGGTGGCACTGCCATAATTATCCATCGATCCGTTTCCCATCATTTGTTTCCCTTACCAAGCCATAATTTCCTACAATCCACAGCCGTAATAATCCAAACACCCCTTTACCCAATAACACTAGTTGCGGCATATTCCCCACCTAAAACACCCATTTCCGAATCCCAAATAATTTCCTTCCTGAATTCCTTAGGACACCACTTCCTCCTAGGTGCAGATCTAAATGCAAAACACCAGCAATGGGGAGCCAGATCCACAAATTCCCGAGGCCGAACATTGCTATCTGCACTTAATTCCCATCGCAGCAACATCCTTTCACCTAATACACCCACATACTGGCCAACAGATCCCAACCGCAATCCCGACCTTCTAGACTTTTTCCTCCACAAAGGTCTAGGATCACTACACTGTTCTATTTCAAGGTTTGATGATCTTTCCTCAGACCATAGTCCTCTAGTCCTAACCGTTTCCACATCTCCCATTCCCAAATCATCCCCACCTTCATTTATCAGGGGGCCAGTTAACTGGAACCTTTTCCGTCAAATACTGGAAGATAATATTGACCTCAGAGTTTCCTTAAAAACACCTGAAGACCTCGACGATGCAGTGCATTCCTTCACTACCCTGATCCAGCAAGCAGCTTGGACTGCATCCTCACCTGATCGTCCCAAAAAATACCATAACATAAATCCTTTACCTCAAGATCTATTGGACCTAATCCATAGCAAACGTTGCTCTAGGACCCTTTGGCAAAGAACTAGGCATCCTGATGACCGGAAATCGTATAATTATTATTCCAAACAGGTAAAAAAGAAACTGGAAACTTTTAAAACCCAATCCTACAATTCCTACCTCTCCTCATTATCCGCTAGTGATAACTCCCTCTGGAACGTAACCAAAAAAATCCTTAAATTCCAGTCCATTTCCCATCCACTTCGCCGTGATGATGGTTCCTGGGCTTCGTCAGATGCGAATAGAGCAGAGGAGTTTGCTAAACATTTATCCTACACATTCACCCCTCACCCCGAACTCCATCCCAGCCACACTGCTGAAGTTGAAGAATTCCTCTCTTCACCAATTCCTCTCTCTCTACCTCCAAAACCTGTTAACCCCTCTGAGGTCAAATTCCTTATAAACAAATTAAAACCCCGAAAATCCCCTGGATATGATCTCCTCACTTCACAAATCCTCAGACAACTTCCCAAAAAAGCAATCATATTCCTTACCTATCTATACAACTGCATCCTTCGCACAACCAACTTTCCTTTGGTGTGGAAACATTCCATAATCATCCTGTTTCCAAAACCAGGTAAACCTGTTAATAACACATCATCCTATAGACCGATAAGCTTACTCCCGATCCTCTCAAAAATCTTTGAGAAAATCCTTCTCAAACGCATCCTACCCATAATCGAATCCCACAACATCCCTTCTCATCAGTTTGGATTCCGCTCAAGACATTCCACTGTCCAACAAGGCCTTCGTGTTGTGGACCATATATCCTCTGCACTTGAAAACAAGCATTATTGCACTGGTGCCTTTCTGGACGTAGCACAAGCTTTCGACCGGGTGTGGCACGATGGCTTGCTTTTCAAGCTCAAAACCCATTTACCCCAATCCTTATACCTAGTCCTCAAATCCTACCTCTCAAATCGTTCCTTTCAAGTCCGTTGTGACACCGCATTCTCCACTTACTATCCAGTTGAGGCTGGTGTTCCACAAGGCAGTGTCTTGGGCCCAGTTCTCTATATCCTCTTCACTTCCGATATCCCTTCCAATCCCGATACATTTCTAGCTACATTTGCTGATGATACTGCCATTCTATCTTCCCACTCAGATCCTCAAATAGCATCTCTAAACCTACAATCTCACCTCTCTTTGATTGAGCAGTGGTGCAACAACTGGCGCATCAAAATCAATGAATCAAAATGCAAACATATCACTTTTACCCTGCGACGCAGATCCTGTCCGTCAATCCTTTTTAATTCAATTCCACTTCCCTACTCAGACACAGTCCGTTACCTTGGCTTCCTTCTTGACAAAAGACTAACTTGGAACCCACATACCAGACTTAAAAGACAAGAACTTAACCGACGATATGGCCAGCTGTATAGATTACTAAGTAGGACATCCCATCTTTCGATTGAAAATAAACTTTTAATCTACAAGACCATACTGAAACCTATCTGGACCTACGGACTTGAACTGTGGGGAACTGCTAAACATTCGAATATCAAACGCATCCAATCCTTCCAGTCCAAAGTACTTAGAACAATAGTCAATGCCCCATATTATGTCACAAACAAGACCCTACACCATGACCTTAACATCCCATTTGTCCTCGACATCATCCCAACCAGATTCTCAAACTTTCACCAAAACCTTATCCATCATCCAAATCCTCTAGCTCAATCCCTATCCAGCTCCCTTCATCCCTACAATCCTCCACGAAGGTTAAAACGGCAGTGGCCCAGAGATCTCTTGTAAATATGCTTCTGGAGTCCTGGCAATGGCCAGCTTCTCCACTCATGTCCCGAGCGTCTGTGGCTCTAGTGCCCTCTTTCAGTCTCCATTGGCTTCTAATACCAGTGATGCGGCTGGAAAAGTGGCACTGGAATCTCCTGGAGTCTTGCTTTGCCTTCCACATGTGGGGGAAAAAGCCTGGCTCGGAGATTCTTGGGCGAATGTATATATTGTATATAGGTATGATTGTGTTTATAAGTTTCTTTTTATGTTATTGTTTATTTTTTTTTTCTTTTATTTTCTTTCTTCATCAGTATTATTTATTTACTTTTTATATTTATATTTATTTCTCTATTATTTGTATATATTGTTTGAATGAGAACTCTTAGCCCTAATACTTATAGCCCTCCAGTGGCTGATTGTATTATTATTCAATAAATAGATAAAAAAAAAAAAAAAAAAAAAAACAATTTCATTTTACTTTATATCTATCTATTTTATTTTTCTTTTATTTAGATCTATTTTATCTAGATCTAATCTATTTTATTTTCTCATTTTTTATTATTTTTTTTACCATCATTACTTAAGTTTCTCATACCTTGTTATCTGGTTATTTTCTTAGCCGTGATGATGGTCTGAACTTCAGGTTGAAACGTCGGCATATGTAAAAAATAAATATTATAATTCATTTTTTGCCTTCCTTTTTTGACTGAGCACCCCAACTATTCTTCTCTTCATTCAACAGTAAATTTGGTTGGTAGTTTTCAGAAAAAAACATTCATTGGAACCACTTGATAATTTAAGCATTCTGTCACTAAACAATATTCCTACTGCATGCCAACTTAAAGTCATTCATGGAAACTATCAACCAAACAGTCTCAACAAACAAAAAACAATAAATAGACAGATTCAAACAACTAAAAAAAATACCATATTCAAAATTGATTATGAAACAATGGGCACCTAATTAATATTTGTTAATCTAATAATAGATTAAGTGAAAGAATAAATAAATAAGAACAATAAACAATAGACTACTTGCTTACCTTGATAACTAATAAGTATTTATTAAAAATCAACAAAATGTATTTTTATAATACAACTAGCAAATATGCTAAAAAAATTACAGTTGATATTTTTTTATTTATTTTATAATAAAATTATTGACTTTATAATTAATCTCAGAACTAGTAAATAAAAAATTCTAAATTGATGAATCAATATAATAAAAAAAAACTTACAGAAGCAGATAAAACAACTATAACGGAGCCCAGTGCATCAGCCATTACATGCAGAAAAACACCTTGCATGTTCATCTGTGCTGGATTATCATGATAATGTGAACGATCAATGGAGTTAATATTTTTTTTTCGCTTGTCAGATTCAAATATTTCATCATTTTCATTATCATCAGTGGCACTGACAGATACCATATGAGTTAGTCTTGAAGTAGATCTCACAACTGGCCCATGAGAATGGCCATGATGCGCTCCATGTTCTAAAATATGCCATTGTTTTTATTAAACATCATATTTCATTAAACATAGAGCAGTAAAGACAAAAAGTTCTAGATATACAGATTTAAATTTTCAATTTGATGAGAAATCAGTCAAAAATAATAATAAATCAATTATTTTAATGCAAATCAATACATAAATTAAATAAAAGATAAATATGGACTGAAATGTAAACTATGGAAGGAAAACAAAAATACTTCTAGAACCTTGAGCAAATCAGAATTCACGAAAATATGCTTATTGTCTTTTTTTTTTTTTAAGTTTAATGCCGTTATCAATCGAACCATGTAATATTACACATAATGGTCTCTTCTACTACGATCGAACCAACAGTACCTTTTGTTTCCGCACCTCCTCTCCTCTCTTCTTCCACAGCTTTCTTGACTAACACCACTCTTCATATTTATTTACATCGGGTGATAGGCTATTTACTATGAGTAGCAGGTAAACTACAATATGACAAACTAAGAATAGCAAGTCATTACTCATTACTCCTTCCATCTCAGATCAGTACTGCATTAAAAAAAAGTACGGATTAACAGTGTGCAAAATAAACTCTGTTGTACTGTACTCACAGCTGAGGGATAGAATGAATGATAGAAATGATTCATGGACCAGTCTTCAGAACAAGTTAAACACTCAGTCCCCTCAACTCTTAATCTTTTCTGGCCTTTTTGCTCTATTTTTAACATTAATATTTGATTGCTATTTATTAAATATTAAAAAAAAGCAAAAATAAAAATAAAATAAATAATACTGAGAATAAAAGTTGAGAAAAGTTATTTAATCACATATAAGATGATAACGTTATTAAATACAATAATAAAAAAAAACACCCTACTTTTAGAATTCCAACTATATGTTCTCAATTTTCTATCTAGAAAATATAAATTTTACATATTATTACCTTTGGCTAACAATCTAATATTTGGATAATAATTGCTAAAAGATTTTATCATAACTACTGACAGCTGCATCAATTTTCATTGAATCCTTCTCTCAATTGGTTTAGACAATCAGAAATATTGTTTTTAAAATCTCGTGAACTTATTGAAAAGTTATACCCAAGTATTTTGGGCTCACCAAGTTTTAGAACTCTTTTCAATTGCAATATTTATATAGGACTAATTACAACTTTATACAATGTTTATTCAAAAGTTTGGTCACTTCTTTTATATAAATATTTGTCACAACAGCCAAGAACACATTTCACAAGTGTCCCCTGTTATGGAATAACATCATGTATGATTAGTAAACCTGGCTATAGGCAGGTGTCGCTAAGAGCAAGAAAAGACCAAAACTAAACACAATCTCGTAATGTGGTCACTAACAAAATTTGTAAAGTTCAATTTATTGATTTCATTCATTTAAAGTTTAATTCTTTTAAATATTAGTCATAACATATATTAACTTATGGTATATTAAAATAAATGATTTCATTTGTAAATACAATGGGGGTTTAAATAATTATACATAAATAAAACTTAAATAGATTTATTCCTCTTAAAAAGACCATATTGACAAATTTAATTTACCTTTCATTATAAGCTTCCACGATATCTAACAAGGGAGGTTATGAATGTGGGGCCACCTATTTCAATGAAACTTTTTTTGTTATTACTACGTCAAATAATATTTTATTAACTTTTAACATTTTTCTATATAATATTTGTCTGTCTACCTTTGTTGTGCATGGATTTCTAGGTTGTAATATATCAATTGATCAATTTTGTGTAAAATAAGAATATAAATATCCATTAGTATAAATAGCAAACAGAACGGAAAATAGAGACGCTACCTGATTAAACTCTATTAGTTTGATGCCCATTTGATGACAAGGCATTACACAAGCAATGTTTTCCATTTGAAATGGACAACAGAGATACTACCAACTAGCAACAAATGTCTGATTCTGTGCCACCCAAAGTTACAGTATAGTGGAATCTTAATAATCCAAGTTGGATGGGACTAAGCCCACATAAGATTATCAAAATAATATTAGGAAATGAAATAATTCTTTGAATAAAACCATATTAATACATATTTCATCATGTATATACATAATTTTAAAACAGTTTCAAAATAGATAAATTTCAAACCTCATAAGTAAAAACAATCTGCTATAATATTTTTATCAACTTTTACAAGGCCTCTTTTTTGAGAACTGATACAGACTCTATTGTTTAAAAAAAATTCTGCTGGCATAATTTCAACTAGTTCCTCATAAACCAATGCATTTTCATCTTCATCTTTCACTAAGAACTCATTCGATGAAATTACCATTTAACCATTTTATCAGTTTCTCACTATCGTTCCTCACAGACAACTGTTCTCACTTCAATATAGTTATTTGGTTCACAGTTGGGTATGCTTGACATCAAATAAACTAAAGCTTGATTATTTTCACATTTAATATCACCATTTTCACTTCATAATGTTGCCTCCTATCCTCTACAGCTCAGTTTTAAAATATTTGACCATGACTATTGTATAATTTTCTTGGAAAATCCTCATAGAAAAAAAGTCATAAAAAAAACCCAGAAAAAACTCAGATTATAAGAGTTTTGTTTACAGAGACTCCAATGTATATTGGCAAAATCATGCACAGCTTGTTGGGCTTTAAAGAACTGTGGCTTGAGTGGGGTTAGTAGTGAATGCAGAAAAAAAAAGAAAACAAACTTGTAGAACTACATGAATCAGTTCAAAATCCCTTCCTTATAGATCTCATAAATAACATCTTGAAAAAATTAGAGAGTTGGTTTACCTAGATTCCCAGATCAATTCTAACAATGATGTCTATTAGCCCAGTAGCCTTTTACATTGTAAGTTGCATTCAATGGGCGTAGAAGGTTTCTTTTTATTTTCTTGTATGGAATATGACTAAGATACAAAATACAACTTTTTGACCTCAGCGCTCTCCCAGATCACTTTTGAAAATCCCAAAAACTGCTATATTTTCGCATGTTTTTCCCATTTTATCCATGAATGAGCACGTTTTTGACAAAAAATATCCTATACATTTGTAAGCTAAATTAAATATGCTACAATTTAAGACCAGAACAGGCTCAGTAAATCAAATAACTTACGAGATACAGGTTTTCAAATTTTGGAAAATTTTATTTTCAATTTAAATTATTTTTCATACTTGGTCATATGCAATTGGCTTTTATCTTCAATAACCAGTCTTATATGAGTCAGTGAATTAAATATTTATTCATTATAATATTTTGAAGGAGGAGAGAAAAGGTTTGGTGGGAGAGGGTAATCCGTGGGTCCGACCCCCTTCTTGTACATCCTCTCTCCACATCACCATAAATTGAATATTGTTGTGTTCCTTGTAACTATATATTAAAAAAACGCAATGTTCCTACAAAAAATGTGGCCGTGCTGTCCCAAAATGGCATCTAAACATGGTGGATTGACGATTTTGACTTGAGTTAGTTTTTTGGTTACTGAGATACAGCAGTTGGCTTAATTTTGTAATAATTGGTCTTTCATTAAAGCTGGATAGTCAGAGAATAATAAAACATTAAAAAAGTTTAAAAACTAATCGGCCTTGGCAATAAAAAAATACCAATAAAGTCAATTTTAAGTTGTTTAAACTAAAGTTGAAAATCAAGTGTCATTTGTAATTAAACAGCAAATAATAACGAAAAACGCCTTGAAATAAAACATCTAGATAATAAATTTATCTTTCTAAATCACTGAATAATTTTTAATATATTTTAAACGGTTCTTTTGAAAATTCACTTTATCAGTGGGAAAGCGGTGCTGGAGTAGGCGCCTACAGTCCTCTGCCACCTCATTTGGTTCACATAAATTGCATAGTTATAGTGCTACTTTCTTCATCTACCTATTACACATTTCTTCCAACAAATAATGTTTCCATGAGGTCGTTGTTCTAATATTTTGGATCTTCTCAGCAGTGATCGCAGAATTTATTTTCAAGCGGTTTTCTCTTCTTTGCTTTTTTATATATTTATATCTTTTGCTATGATTGTTCCAAATATCTAAAACTGCTCTCCGAAATTAAATTTCTAAGTCAAGCAGAATTTTGAAAGGTGCGGTAAGCCCTTTTTTTTTTGCTGCCGGTGGTTTACTAGGAAGAAGATAAATCACAATAAATAACTTAGGTCATTCTAGCTCACTTATTTTATCAATTAACTTATAATATTATATTCACATACATCACCATAGGGTTTCTATTTCTTATTATTTATAGCCATTCCTTTACTAGATCCATGTAACCTACTCCTTCAAAATAATAAATTAAATAAATGTTTACTTCAATAACTCTTATAAGGCAGGTTATGTTATTGAAGACACAAACATTAAATTGGCTTAACATTTTCAAGTTTCGATAATTTCATTCACATTATTTACAATTTTTGTATACACTTGATGTAAATATTGCTTAAATAAAATTTGTATTTCAATTTCAGTCTTCTGGTTGTGAAAAGTGATCTCTTACTTACTTTCCCACCTCTCCCCCCTCCTTCAAAATGTTTTAATAAATAAAACTTACTTCATTGAATCATACAAGTTGAAGATATAAAGACTATTGCATATGATCAAAGCTGAAAAATAGCTTAAAATTTCCAAAAAATTCCCTGAACTTTGAAAACCAGTATCTCAAAAACCATTAAACTTAGCGAACTTGTTTTGGTCTTAAATTGTAGCATAATCAATCTAGTTTAAAAATACATAAAATGTTTTATGTCAAAAACGTGCTTCTTCACTGTCAAAAAGGGGAATAACCGAAAAAAAAGTGCGAAAATATAGCAGTTTTGAGGATTTTCAAGTGATCGGGAGATAGGGGAGAGCCAAGGATCTCAGTCATTTAAAAAAAAAAAAAAAAAAAAAAACCTTCTACCCCTATTCGATGCAACTTAAATCCCCCTTTTCATGACAAGCTTACTGGGCTATATACAAGCAGAAATTCAGAGAAGACTCATGGTTGCTTATTAATTCTACATTGGTCCTCATAGAAAAGCAGAATATAGGTTGCTTGATTACCCAAGATTTACCTAAGAAAAGGAAGAGCTAAACTAGAATATGAAATAAATTGGTTTAAAATAGCATGGTTAAGGAGAAGAGCTGAAGTGTTAGAGCAGATTATAATGCTCACATTAGAACAAATTGTGAAAAAAGAAAGACTTGACGGTAGCTTAATAAGCAATCCAGTTGAGATAGATATTATAACCTTGGCCCTTCCTATCCCGAAATTTCTGGATAACAGTTCTACTGTCAAGAAGACAAACAGGGAAATGATTTGTCAGTGTGGAATTTCATAATGTTGTGGACCTCAGACTAGTAAGTATAGGATGATTTTTCCACTACCCATCAAGTAAAGTTAATACAATATAACACTGATATACAGCCATTTATGCACACATCTCACACGCATGCAATTAGAGTGATAGAATTTAGCGAGAAAGTATCTCACTGTTGTGGACCTCAAACCACTTCAACTTATGTAAGATAATTCTATTGAAGAACTACTTCCCTCCAATAAAAGGAAATATATATTATATAGATGCAATCATAAGCAAACAAACATAATATAAAAAAAGAATGACAAAGTCTTAAAACAAATGAGTAAAAACTTACGATGAAATAACAGTAAACCAACAATGTTGACAAGAAGCCCAAGAGATCCAACCAAAACAATGAGTTTAGGTTCTCGAATAGCCTCCACTTCTAAAAACCTACAAAGAGAATGTGTTATGACTATATAAAAGAAAAGTAAAATAACATGCCAAAGTAAAAAAGTACTCACAATTTGAAATTACTGTATTTGTCCGAATATAAGTAGAGATTTTTTTCAGAGATTTTAATGTATAAAATAAGGGTTTGACTAATATTTAGGGTTGACTTGTTTTCAAATACTACCTAGGAAAATTTGAACCAAACTCAGGGCTTTTAAATCACTTCAGAAATTCGTTTTTTTAATTTTGTGATGGCAGACTTAATATGGTTTACAGTAATAATAAAAAATAAATCATACCCTTATTTATCAAACATTTAGGAGAGAGAAAATGAAAAAAAAAAAATTTGCTCAAAGTGTGATGTTTAAAATGAGAGTACAGGACTAAAAGGAAAGTAACATAAGACCAAAACATAAAAATAGATTGTGGACCATTCCACACCAAATCATCCAGCCAGAATTCAAATTGACACCTGGTCCTCAAATATTTCAATGAAAACTAATAAATACACAAATAAGAAAGAATTCTAAGTTTTAACCAATTTTAAAGAGTAGTTTCAAAATTATGAACATTTGAACTTGTGAGATAGTTGAAGTTTAGGAGACAATTTGAGCTCAAAATCAGTTTGTATGTCCTTGGCTTTCCCAATTAAAAAAAATATTTATTGAAATTGAAATTTCAAAATTGATTCATTTGTCCTACATTGTATATAGCAGAATGAGATGATCTATAAGTATTAGCAATAATATTTTAAACATAAAAATTAATATATTTCAAAACAGTTAAACAACCATAGAAAAATATCTGTAGCTGAAATCTATCTCCAGATATTTTAACACAACCATGCAATATTGAAAAAAGTATAAAATTCTCTATCAAATAATGAACTAATATACACTGACAGGCAAAAAATTCCACCCACTTGATTTTTCCATGTTTTCATCTAAAAATATTTCTGTAAAGTTGTATTTGTATATAATACATGGTATTTGTAGATAATACTTAGTATTTATGGAATTTTATAATCTTTTTTACCTTTAATAATCAAAATGTGATTGGGTAAGAAAGATTAAAGAAAAAAAAATTGAAATGAACCATTATTATTCTAAAAGAAATTAATTACATCATCATTTAGTAGCGCGTGTTTCCTCCTCTTGCCTTCACTACTTCTTGAAGACGCCTCGGCATAATTTCCACCAGTCGGGAAATGTCCCTTTGCTGGAGGATAGCCCATTCCTCCCGAAGAGCCCTTTCAAGATCCTGCAGTGTATCAGGAAGTGTTGCACGCGCTCTTATTCGTCTTCCAATGTTATCCCATAAATGCTCAATGGAGTTCAAATCTGGAGAACGTGCTGACTAGGCTAAAACCTCAATATTGTTCTGTTGAAGGAACGTCTGCACTATGCGGGCGACATGTGGGCCTGCATTAGAATAGAACGATCGCCGATTTCATTGAGGATAGGCAACACATGAGGTTCCAAAATCTCATCTACATAGCGAATGTCCATCAAAGAACCTCCACGAACAACAACCAATTCTGTGTGGCGCTCCATTGAAATCCCAGCCCACACCATTAAGGAACCACGTAGGGAAGGCTGGCTCTGGGAGAAATATCTTTTGTTTCTTCTTCTCCACACCCTTTCAAGACTGCCTGGAGATCAAAGAGCGAATCTTGACTCATCTGCAAAAAGTACAGCACTCCATTCGTCCATAGTCCAATGGCTGTGTTCTCGAGCAAAAGCCAGCCGTGTTACTCTGTGAGTTCTAGTCAACTCTGGTCCTCTTACTGGACGAAAAGCCATTAATCCATACTCATTTAATCTTCTTCGAGCGGTACGTTCAGAAATTTGCACACCTCGAACTTCTTCGAGCTGATGAATCTCTTGAACAACGGTAAGGTGCCGGTTTCATAAAATTCTCAAAGTCAAAAACTGGTCATCCCGTGGTTCTGTTACCCTAGGCCATCCAGAACCGGCCCTTCTATTGTAAGAACCAGTTTCCCGAAAACGCCTGACGGCATCTCGTAAAGTTTCATATGGGAATCCGATGGCCTTAGCTGCATATCTAATAGAACGTCCATCATCAATAAGTGCCACACCAAACGCAACATCCTCAGCACTAAAAGGCATTTTTAAACTTAATATTGAAAAAATTAAAAGTCGGAGAATAAGAAATGTGCTGCAAGAAACGGCACTGAACTAATGATACTGAATAAACATTTTGATTCCATAGAAAGTAAACATTTGAATCTAGAATCATTTCATTGAATTAAGGATTAAGGGTTATTGTCCTCTATATTAACATTCCTAATTGAAAACAAACAAAAAGATTACCTATTTATTCATTAAAAACAATAGACCAATCCAAAGCAGAAATATTTTTAGATGAAAACATGAAAAAATCAAGTGGGTGGAATTTTTTGCCTGTCAGTGTATAATATGAACTACACAAGCTTTTGAAAGTAAAGATAGTTGTTAAAATGTAAACAAATCTGATGCGGTGCGCGCATCACACAAGTTTCACTTACCACCCTTTTCATAGCTTAGCAGAAAAAGGTATTTTCAGGCAAAAGGAGTGAAAGTAAAAATTATATACGCTAAATTTATTTATATTTCATTGTGGGTATTTTTATTTGTATAACTACTCTTATATATACAAATTTTAATATTTATATAGCTGTAATCTATACAATTAAATTATATTAAGCTCATGTTACGTATGGAAGTTTGTACTAATCTTTTGGGCGAGCTTGGGTGGGCTCGTATTCCTTTGGTTCCTTAATTACAACTATTAACCGTTACAATCTCTTATTTCTTTTTTAGTTAATTATCAAATTCTTCCATATTTTATATTTAACTATCTTTTATATTAGAGATTAATGTGAAATGGTCGATATTTTCAAATAAAAAAAATTAAAGGTACTTTACAAGAAGCTAATATTGAAAATAAGACATTTAAGTCCTGTTAGAGAACATCAATCAGAATAAAAAGTACGTTTTATTTAAAACTGCTTAAATCTACACTGATATGATGAATTTAATCAAAATTGTTAGAGCCATTTTCGAGAAAATAGTAACAATGTGTTTAGTTCATTAGATAAAGTGCCACTTTCGGTAAGCCGATTTTGAGAAAAAGTTGATGTAACATCCCCAGTATATAAAAACCTTAAATATGCAATTTCACTTCCATAAGACTTTTCGTTTTTGAGCTAGGCTGTTAACACACACACACACACAGACAGACCATTTTGTGGGACTTGGTTGGGGTTCTCAAAACAAGTATTTCTGTTGAAATCTGAGATTCGAAAATTTTCATGATTGCAATACTTTCCTTTACTATATATTTCATATAAAGGTAAATGAAAGTAAAAATATAGTTTTAGCATGTTGCAGAAACAATATGTTAAACAAAAACAAAGCTTGTAAATAAAAAATTAGAGAGGGAAAAAGGTTTTCAACTATAACAGTATAGAGCACAAATACATAGAAAACAAAACTTTCAAGATCCAAATTAAATTTCAAAAATGAAAAGCAGCCAATTATATCAACAAACAATTAAATTTCCTATTTAAAACTTAATGCTTGTTTTTCATTCTTCCGAGAATCGGAATCAATCTTGGATGAGCTACTAAATTGAGAAGTTACTTTTAGAGGCTTTATTAAACAAAGTTGATGAGCTAGAGGTATATGAGGTGTTTCTTCTTGTTTTTTCTCAAACAACTTTCAGTTAGACCAGAGAGAGATGCTTAAATATGACACCATCCCTTTCTTTCTCATTTATATCCTGGATCATTCCAATTCATGAATTTCTTGAAAGAAATGAGATTATTTGTGTATTTACTTAATATAACAAATTTTTAATATAATATAAAAATCTCTTGGGGTGGGTTAGCCCCTGGAAGATTTGGCATGGAATGACCCTAGTGTAAAAGATAATAATAATATAATTAGAAATAATAAGTTAAATAACCTAATTAGGAAAATATAAGAAAAACAAAAGATAAAAAGGAAATTATTAAATAGACACATAAAATCAATAACAGGGAATACATTCTCCTTGCAACACTTTTGGAGACAGCCCTGATGAAGGCCTGAACTTCAGGTCGAAACGTCGGCATATGTAAAACTACTATTCTTCTCTTCATTATCCACGACAGTCAACTATTTACCAATTACAATTTAGGTACCTTTGCTCTAATTTCAAAGCTTCACCACATTATTTTAAAAAGATATTATGGCGTGATTCATTTAAGTAGTACCTGATTTAAGCATTCTTGATTCTTTTTGAGATATTTACATTAAATTCGGGAATAGATTTCTTATTAGTTTTTTAAATTATTCTTCTCTATTTTTCCCTGAAAATTATTTTCCAAATGTCAACTAATATTCTGGATCAACCTATATTCGAGCAAATCAGGTATTCATTAAACTTAATTACAATTATAACAAAGGTCGAGATTTAAAATACCTTATTAACAACCAAGGGCATATACCAAAATTATAAATTGTATAACACAAAAAACTTAACTTCAATAAGATAGATAGGAATAAGTAGATTGTGAGGGTCACGGCAAGACGAATTATATTTTAAATCAAAATTAGAAAATAAATTAAACTAAGTAAACATAGATGAGGTCAATGAATCACTTTTAAAATAAAACCTATTAGAATGTATTATGGAATGTGCTTTTAATGGAAAACAGGTAAATGAAAGTAAAAAATTTGGAAAATAACAGTGGGTTGACAGCGAATGCATGAAGCCCTTAGGAAGTGAACAATTCTTCACTAAATTACTATGTTTGAAAGCAAATAATGAATATAAAAAAATGGTTGTCCAAAAACGGCAGGATTGTTATAAAAATGTTAATGAAAAATTTAAATGCATTAAGGATACTGAACAGCTGTGGACATTAATAAAGCAATTTGAGACTAGACATTTCATTAGTGAGTCAAATATCACTGCCGAGCAGTTTAGACATTATTTTAATTCCTTGTTAAATC